GGTGGCGGCGCCCCCGCGCGGCGCCTCCCGGCGCTTCCCCCGTCCCATCTCCCGTGTCCCGATCCAGCGGCTCGAGGCGCCGCGTCCCGCAGCTGGCGGGYGGCGAGGGGACCATGAGCAGGAGCGGGGCAAGCCCAGCCTCCTAAAGGACAAATTAAAACGGGTATAGGCTTGCTGTACATTAATATAACTTGGAAACGGGACGTATCTAACTGCACCAGGGTGACGCCTCCCCTAGGGCTTTACCTGTCTTGCTAGTCCGCACAAGACAAACTTCAGCTCAAGATTCCTYCTGAGCAGTTTTCTTCTTTTCCAAACCATTCCCACTTCCGTCACTCGGCTTGGGTTGAGCTCTGACATAATTGTTGTGGCTGATAAGGATGAATCAGCAGATGAGCYCAGGTTCTCCCGGCACAATGTGATCCATGGACAGGATGGAGGTTGCTGGGAGATTCTCTCTTGCACTTTTTTTTTCTTCCCATGTAAAATAAAACCTGACATTTTAAAAAGCGTTTAAGGGATGTCACCARCACGATCTGAGATTACTAAAGATGGATACTTTAAATTGGGCCTTCTTTTTGCCATTTCTGCCAGCCAAATCAAATTCATACTGCTTATTTACTATTTAGTAMATAACCTGTGCAATGCTGCAATCGAAGCAAAACACTGCAAGAAACAGTGCAACAGTGAATCCTCAAAAGAAACTCTTTTTCTTTTCTCTTTCATTACTCAAATAAAAATTTCTTACTATAGTTGGGGGCAGATCTCCAGTGACCATATTTAAGTAATTGATTCCATTATAAGAACTATCTTGAAAATAGCTTCTCTGTACTAGAAGATTCTTTAAACTTTGTCTTGCCTATCCATAGTTAATAAAGGACAATGTACATCAGTTATCTTAAAAGCAGCTACTAATTAACTTCTATAATTTCTAGTTGCTATCATTCTGAATTGCTATATAAGCATATCTTAATTATTCAGTCTTCGAAATTTGCCTCAATATACAGCTTTGCAGAGCAATTTTTTTTTTTTTAATTGTATCAGTAGTTTGGCCGTTATCAGTATGTTGTTTCAGGATAATGTAGGTATGGCTAAAATCAGGATCAGCTCTGACACTCAAATTTGGCAAGACTAATAACTAATGTTACTAGTCACTGTGGTGCTCGAGTTTTCTGTTGTAAGTTAGATTGCCTTCTGCTTTTGCACTGTTTTCCTTGGGCACTTCAGTACCTGGCAAACGTATGTCCGAAATCTCTCAGGAAACTTCTCAGATCAGGAAGGATGAACCATGAGCAACGGAGCCTTGTGCTCACTCCCACTCCTGTGACTTAATCAGCAGCCTGTTTTTCCACACTAACAGCGATTTGTAGTCACTTTGCTATTTATAAGGCAGACTTGCAAAAAAGGAAGTAACCAAGAATCTTGTACAATCCATGTCTACAATTAAAAGGACAAACAAAAAAGCACAACCTGTGCTACAATTAAGAGCACTGATATATAATCTATGTATAGCTCAGTTACTGTTATAGAACAGAATATTGAGTTGGATGGTGCATTATGGAATTTCTGTACAATTATTACATTTTTTTTTTAATTGGTAAATTATGGTCTGGAGGTAAATCCTTACAACCACAGCTTTTTAAACATAGCTTCTAAGCAAACTCACCCATATACAAAGCAAACTTACTCATGTATGTGTAAACATGTGAAAAAACACCCTCACATCCCTTCTATGTATTCTCTTAAACAAAGCCCAACAAGTTTTTGGTGCAGCCAAACAGTGGGTGGCAGTATTCAACACATCATTATTCAACACATCATTTAGTTGGTTATGGCTAGATGGTACTTAAGCAGGCAAGTGCTTCTCAAAGGTAATTGATAAAATCAGTATCTGTAGAGAAAAGTTTGAACAGTTCCCAAATTAGCGTAATGAGTCAAACTGGCAATGACAGCCATCTGCAAGAAACAAAGTTGCATCTTGCTTATTTATGAACCAAAACTGTGTGTTTTTTACTGTCCCTGTGAACAGGTCTCCAAGTTAAAGATATTTTTCTTATAGACTGTGCAATTAAAAAGGATAGAGATATATTGTCCCATGATGGAAAATTATTAATTCTTTATTTACCTGAGCAATATATAACATTTCAACCATAACTCTTGGAAGGTCATTACCAAATCACAAGCAGAACCTCAACCAAGATCTCATCTTTATCTGATGAGCTTCAATGGCCAAGTTTTCCCAGCTCATTACTTTCCTCAGCCCATCCCTGAAGCTCCCACAGAAAGCATGTCTACATGCATGGGTTGCCAGGTTTTAAATTAAATGCTTGAAACCTAGTAGGTTATGTTGCAATCGCTGTATGAACACACTTGTGGATTAAAGATGATTCATATCTTGCTTCAGATCCACCTCAGCTAAATAAGAATAAAAATAAATAAGAATAAAGAGCTGTTTCTACACAGTCCTTTGCACTAGCTTACCTAAAYTGATCAAAAAGACACTAAAATAAACTGCATGACTTCTGCAGATAGGATTCCATCATTTCTATGATTCCAGTTTTAAGGAGTTTTTGTAGAAGAGATCCAGGGACCATACAAACTAGGCAGTTAACAGGCAGCTGGGATAGAGCCTGAAACAGCAGGCTGCAGAGAAAAGGGCAACAGGGAGATGGGGAATAATTACAACCACTGAAGATCTCTTAATATCTTCTAAATTGTGTTTTGAAAATAAAACATGATAGTTAGTACTGGCTCAAAATGGTATTTGTAGAACAACCCCAGATTTTCTTCTTGCCTCTGTAAACATCCAATGTCCTTGCTGCTCCCACACTTGCTGTGGCATTGACTTCCCTCATCTTATTATTCACTGTGCAGAAGTACTTCCTTTTATCAGTTGTGAATGTGGCACATTTAGGTAATATCATGTGGCCGTGTTCTCAACTTACAGAATGCTGTTGGGGTGGTTTCCTTAACAGCAGTTTTCAAGATGTTCTTTGCCAGAGGGGATAGGCACCTCTGGTACTGTTTACTCACAGTAACTCACCATACTGCTCTAGCAACATGCTCTGTTCTAGTAGGGAGAACAATTCTGCACTTCCAGAAGATCCATTTCCAGCAGTATGCCCCCTGCAGTAATGGAATATAGAATACATTTACATATAATTTGCATACATGCAGGAAAGATATTTTATTTTTACGGAACCAGGAGGCATTTGGGCAGGTCTGGTAGCAGACATACCAAGATATGACAATCTGGGGTTGGATATATTGTGCTTAAAAGAGAAGACAGTATTCTATCACAAGCCTAAGAAAATCATACTGAAAGGTTCAAAATCACTGGGCTGACRWTATGAAAATTACAGATATTTGTGTTCAATAATGCTAAATATATATAAAACAACTGCTTGTGTATTTAGCATCTCATTATTACAAAATTATTGCCAAATAATTTAGAAAACAAACTATTAACAGTGCTTTATACTAAATTAGTGTGTATCTTCTTATCTCTTATTTCTGAACCCCCACTCAGATCTCATAAGAAATATCTTTCCTGCGCTACATTAAGCATTTCTTATGTGTTGAAAGATAAAAGCTCCTCAATTTATCACAACTTTGGAAAAGCAGCAGGTACTGAATAAGTGTATAGAATCCTRCTGCTGCCAATTATCATCAAATTCCAATCTGCCTGTTTAGTTTTGGAGGGGCATACCTATAAAGGAGAAAAAATACAAATCTTAAAGATACCATCTTTGCAATTATACTATCAAAACAGAGCTTTATCTTTAAAGGAGCAAGGAAAACGCAAGCAAACATCAGTGTATAAAAYAGATTCACAGAAAATCTCCCAAATGCAAGGGGACCCACAACCACAAAGGAAAGAGTGAGACCAAATGAAGGCTTGCGGGGTAATGTTCTTTATTACATAAACTTGCATAGTGAGATTACGCAAACATGCTTCTGGGCAAACAGCTTTAAGAAACACACTCCCACTCTAAATACACCCTTAACAAGTGTTGTCAGGTCGTAATTCAATATGTAGCAATTAGACCTCTGAGAAATGAGTGCTCGGTGCACACCTCTGCCTGCACCCTAGTCTTGTGTGTGCCTTAAGGCCATCGCAGCCAGTTGTGCTACTACAGAAGAACAAATATATATATGTGTGTACATATATATATATATATATATATAAAGGATAACAAATAAAAGACATTTTAGAGTTCTGTTTGGAAAACTGCAGAGTCAAAAAACAAAATAATTTATTTAATGGTTGCACAAAACTGCATTTCCTTGGGGGCATTCAAGGAAGCGCAGAAAGTGCCGGAATGGCAGACAACACCCGGAGCTGTTACCTGGAGGAACCCGCGCCCTTGTGCGTGGGCAGCTGCTGTGCAGCGGGCATCGTGCTTCTGCTCAAGTAACATGCGCAGACTAGAGCTAAAATAAATGAGGGAAAAAAGTAGATATTAATCTCTGCACACACCAGAGCATTCTGGGGATAGAGACAGGCACCTTTTGTTGCAGGGAGCCTCCTGCAGCACCTCAGCGTGTGGCACTGCTGGCTGACAAGGGAATGAGGCTTTTGGCTGCTGTGCTTTTTTATAGATATAATAAACGTGCACCAGAAGCGGAGGCCCAAGCAGGGACCTGGCCCGGTTTCTTTCGCCTCCCTCTTCCCTCAGGAGGAGCCTGCAGGCCGGGCCGGRCCAGGCCGCGCCGCCCGGGGCGGGCACAAGATGGCCCCCGCGGGCCGGGGCGGCGGGAGTGTGCGGACCGGGGCCGGGGCCGCGCCAGGAGGCAGCTTCCCCTCCGCTCGCCGCTCCCGCTCCGCCGCGCCGCGCTCCGCCCCGGGGGGCGGCGGCGGGAAGGGGCGCCCGGAAGCGCGTGCGGCCGGCGGCGGCGGCCGCGGGGTAAGGAGAGGCGGCGGGGCCTGCCCGGGGCCTGCGGGGGAGGCGGCGGGGCGGCCACGGGGCCCGTGAGGGGAGTGCGGCGGCCACGGGGCTCCCGCTCCGCCCGGCACCACCGCGGCCTGGCCGCGGTCCGGCCGCCTTCGCCCGGCAGGGGTGGCGGGGAGGCGCCCGGGACGGCCCGGGCCGGGAGCGCCGGTAACCCCGCGCTGCAGGAGGGGAGGTGTGTATGTATGTACACCCCCCACATATGTGCATATATTTATGCACCAGGTTATACATATGTGTACATATATTTGTGTATATGTACTGTATATGTGTGTACATATCTATATGTACACACAAAATATATACATTCGTATAAGTGCATGCATAACTATGCATAAATTATATATACATTTTTTATACACRTATATATACATATATATCTATATGTACTCCTAGCAGAGCTGCTTCATTCCTGGGCCTGCAGTGATGAATCTGGGGTCTGGGGTGGTTAAGGGCTGCTTGAGGTAGCAGAACCCCAAGAAAACCCGCGTGGTGCCTCTGGGCTCTTCTTGCAGGTTGTGTTTTGCTCAAATAAACTGAGGTGCTTTATGTTAAATATTGTCAACCTGTTGATCTTAGAGCCTTGTTTTAAACCTGAACTCTGGTGACACGTTCGGGTGTTTGAGGGTAATGAGATATGGAAGGGCTGTATAGATACTTAGAAAAATCGGTTTCTTACTCAAATAAATCACTCATTTATCTTTGTGCTTTCCTTTGGAGCCCTTTTCCTTGGAAAGGGACTACTGCAGTGTGTTAGCAGCAACTTGGGGGTGGGAATGGCCCAGAGGAGCTGCTGCTCCTTCATGGAGGGCTGCATCATGAAGGAGCTGCTCCTCGTGAGATGCTTCTCCTCACCAGCCTGCCTATTCTAAAAYACTATCGTGATTTAGGACCCTGAAGCATATAAGTTGATTTGGTTTTRTAGAGTTTCCTCAACAGAGCTGGGGACTGATCACAGGTCTGTGGTGTGCCAGGTCTGCATCTTGCATGTAGGAGCATTTCTTTGTTTGCCTACCTCATGTGTTTTCAGTGCTTAGTGTTGTAATGTTACACATGCTTTCTTCTTTTAAATAACACCATGTTTTGAAGTAAATAACGRGCTTGTCGTAACATTTAATCGCAGAAGAAAGGCTGACAGGTAACAAAGGACAGCTGAGCCTCTGGTTATCGTAGTCAGCAAGCAGTAGTCCAAGGACAAATGTGCTTCTAATGTTAAAAAYGTGGCAGAGGGCTATAAGGAAGGGTGCGGACTGTAAGATTTGTTGTGGTTTATCAGTTGGCACAGTTAGAACATGAAATTCATGTAGCAGGGTGTTAACGTGTTGGGGCTGGTTGTGAATGGTCACACTACTGAGCAGTCAGCAAATAACTGTTGCTTTATACACAGGCATGTGATGTGAAATACATTTCTGATACTTGAAAGGCTCCTGGCTGCGAAGAAGAGTGAGGAAGAGCAGTGGGAATGGTACTGCCCTGCCAAGGCACTCTCCTTCACTTACAGGCAGGTCTGTGAAGAGAGCTTTGAGCTCACTTTTTAGGTTTTTTTTTTGCAGTAATGGAATGCAGTTATAGCTGTGATAGTGTAAGGATGTAAGCAAAGAAAAGATTGTGAGGACAGGATAATACCTGTTGGTTTAATAGAACATGTAGTTGCAGGGAGCAGGGTTTTGAGCACCTCAGRCCTTCTTCAGGTGTCACTTTCTTGTCTCTCTCCACAAATTTCAGCTGTGGTGTCCTGGTTGCTTTAACCTGCTGCACCTCAAATATTGGTGTGATAATAACAGGTGGCATTAGTAGCACTTTATCCCAAAGAACAATGGATAGAAATGATTCTTAAGAGTTTCAGCTTTTACGTGTATTTTCCATGTACTTTGGGTGTCTTAACAAGAAAGCATTTGCTTTGCTCATGCAAGACAATGTCAGCTCTAGTTTTGGCAGAAGAACTGCATAAGTTCACCATCTAGGAACTCTCTGCTGCAAATACAGAACTTTGAATCCCCAGTAGAKCCAGAAACACATTGCAGCCAAAGGCTTGGTGCCAGCTTGTGAGCCCCTGGTGCCACGACAGAGGGTAACATTTGTGAGTGGGGTGTTTGAGCTTGATTGACAGCTCTCGGTGTGATCTTCAGAAGACAGGTCCTAGTGTGCCTGGGCACCAGGAGATGCCCGTGGGTGGAACAGTATGTTAGTCACTTGGGATCCCCTTCATTCCTAGGTTGTCTCTCTGTATAAATACATGCCAAACTAGACTGGTCAATTTGATTCTGTTTCTTTTGTGGCAGGTGACTTTCAAAAGAACCAGCCATTTCAGTGAAGGAACATAGAAGAAAGAAGTCTGGAAAGGCTAAAGCTGCAAGAGCAGGAGCTCGAACGAAAAAGGGGAAAGGAAATAGAGGTGGTTGAAAGGTGAGAATGTATTTTTTAGTGTTCCATTTTCTTGAGGTTTTCTACACTATTTTATTGCCAGCAAAATTCAGGAGGAACTGTAAAATCCACATTGCTACTTTAAAAATCCAGACTTTAAGGAAATGTGAGTCAGAGAACCTGAAGTGTTACTGTGTACAGTTCCTAATCCATGTCTTACTGTAGGAAGAAAAGGAGCAGTGTGACAGTTTGGTAGTAAGGCACAAGATGAAGGGTTGTGAGGACGAAGCTGGAACGGAGACGTCATGAGATCCTTTCCAGCCTGGCTAGTTCTGTGAGCCTAGAGTGAAATCTGAGAGCTGTTGCTCTCAAACAACTATGAGGCTTGATTGCTTGAGATTATGGAAGTGGGATTCCAGAATTCTCTGTGGGATCAACAGCACAGATCCTGTGCTGTAACATGAAAAAAATAATGTCAYTATGCCCTTAGGCTTCACTGAAATTGGAAAGATAGTGGAGATAATCCTGTAATGTCTTTTAAATGGCACCCTCATACTAATCTGTATGTGATCAGTCTCTAGTTGAGTCCTTGGAGAGAAGATAATAATGGAATCTGCCTTCCTGAGATTGCTTGTAATAGAAACTCCAGAATATGAAGCATTTGAGAAAAGTAAAGAACTTTCTAAATGTGTGCATCAGTTGCATGTGCCAATTGCCTGCCACATTTGCTTGCTTCTTTTTCTTTTTTTTTTTTTCCCTCTCCTCTTTGACCTGTTATTCTGGAAACCAAAATTTCTTGTTAGTGACATTTAGATTCTTGGTGACTGGTTGCTTATTCCACAAGGTTCAAAATATAAAATAAGTGTCATCTAAATTGTCCCGTATTGATAATTACCTAGAAAAAGACCTGGTGATGAAAAAAAAGTTCAAGAGAGAAAAGAGAGAGCTAAGCTCCAGAGGAGAGAAGAGAGACAGATAGAACGAGATGAAAAACATCCCCAAGAGCAGCAGAAGGTACCAGCTGAAGAACAGCAGTGGGCAGAGAATATGCCTGAATGGGAAGAAAGGAAATCCCTGCTAGCTCAGAGAAGAGTGGAGTCTCTCAGACTGCTTACAGTGCTGTTAAACCGAGTGAAAGTAAGAATATTTTAAAAAATATTTTTAAGTTTGAAGGATATTTATTAGAGCTTGAATAATTCACTGGATTTTGGTGGCTTGATGCTAATAAAAAGAATGCCTTGGGACTGACTAAGAAGACCTGAGGTTTGAGTCTTGAAGCAACTTGACCTGAAAGTTCTGGGATATTGCCCAGAAAATTCTGTCTTTGATGCATGTGAAGGACTTGTCATTGCTGAGGAGGAATAAGGATGGAAGCGTCAACTCTTAGTCTTGGTCTTCATTTTGAAGAGGGAATTTGGGGAAAGAGAGGCAGAAGGACAGTATCTCTGCTGGTTTGGTGTCAGGTCTGCAAGTAACAGAATCAAATTGAAACCAATTATGCCATTTTCTTTTCTAGTAGTCTCTCTTTTGCAGCCAAAAGGAAGCTGTTTTATCTCAGTTTCATTCAGCTAACGGTTTGAGAAAGTTAGCAGAAGAGTGATAAAAAATTGAGTGTTTTGCACRCACATTCATGACGGGAGGCTTATTTTAGTCCTTTGGGCTCAAAAAATTGTTTTAAATGAAAGCTCAAGGATGCTAACATGACTTTGTTTTTACTATTTGCTAATGCAAAACTTGTTAGCAGCTCTTAACAAGCAAGTGTTTTTTCCCAGCCCTTGATATTTACAGTTTTTAAAAGCTGCAGTTCTTTTAAGAGTTGAAGTTTGAGGCTMTCCCTGCCATTCTACATGAATTTTAGGGCTCCATAACATCTGATGTTGGACTTATTGTGAAAGTGATGGTTTCATCGTTTGGAAAGCTTTTAGATTGGTTGTATTGGAGCCATTAAAATACTGTATAATAAAACTATTTAATTATTTTAAATAAAATATTCAAGCTATAATAGTGCAGCAATTTTACTTCTGCATGCAACACATTGTAATTCAGTAATCAAATAAAGAATAAATACTTTCTTATGCAATTGCAGTGAGATAGATGAATTGGTTGAAAGGATGACAGTCGTAAAGAATGCAGCCTTTTGAGATAACATCTTTAGATCTGACATAGGCATAGCAAGATTGTATGATCAGGCTCTGAATTRAGCCAAATTTATCCCTCAGTTATACCAGTATAATTTCTGTGACTGTGGAGCTGCATATTTATGAGTTTGCAGTTTTAGCTCTTTTTAGTTMTGTTCTCAATAAATGTACATAATCATTTTCCTGATTTTTATTTAAAGGATTTTGCACAGTTGGCAAGTCAAAAAGTGGATCCTTCGTTGGGCCTAAGGAAGGACGATTCTTTTCCTGAAACAACATTAAAAGACACACATCAGGAAGAGATAAACTCCCGTTGCCATACGCACAAAGAGTTGAAACATAAGGAAGAGTTTACGTGTCAGTTAACCCAAAAAAGTAGCGCCTTATGTAGTGAGGAAGGGGATTTGACTGGCTTGTGTGCATCCACCCGTCATATAGTCAGGACAGTTTTAAATGATCCCAGTMGAGCCCTGACTTGTGAGAGCTTGACGGGCACAGATGCGTACGACTCCTTTGGCTGTGGATCTTTACTGATTACAGTTACACAAGACTGCAAGGTCATCGAACCTCTCGATAGAAGGGACTACCCAACACTGAATGTAGTTCACACACAGACAGTGTCTGATGAAGACGGCTGCAAAAAGCAAAAGGTCTATGAGACCGATGAATTTATCCATTATTTATTAAACTACTATCAGACACCGAGCTATGCACGCGTTTGCTTAGAGCCAAAAAGCACTGCGAGCAAGTCCTGGTGGAAGAGAGTGGTGTCTSATGATGACAGTGGCTTTCAGATCAGCTTGAGTAACAAACACGGTCAGCRCTTCAGAGAAGTGAGTCTTGTGCAAAACGTCAGCAAGAGAAATTGTAGTAGAGATGATAATTATAGACTGCTGATCAAGGTTGGGGAATTTGAAACTACAGACACAGTGTGGAAAAGCCAGACCTGTGCAAGTAGGCTTGCAAAAAAAATTCAAGTACAGAGGAATGACTCGCTGGCTGTTGATAACTTACCACGTGCTGGACTGAATCGCTTTCTGGATGGCACTACTGCTAGTCATGATAAGGAATTCAGACTAGAAGACAGTAGAGATGAAGCTACTGTACCATACCAAATGTGTAGATCAGCTTTCAAATTAAAGGATTTGTTGGAAGAGATCAGTGACTCAGAGTGCTTTGGTGAGGCACATAGTGGTTCGATGAAGAGGACAGAGAGAAAGTGTGAAGAAATTCACAGCAATTGTAATCAAGGGTGCTTGCTCCCAGGAGAAGGGGAGAGGAAATTACTGGTTTGTGTTAAAAATGTAGCCCTGGAAGGTCAAGAAAAGGAATGCAGCCAATGTAGCTTCTGTTCTAATTCTGCCCATGAGGGATTGGCAAGGCAGTGTGAACACAAGTTTAAAAAATCATACAAGCGGTCTAGTAGTAAATTAAGACATGAAGGACAGAAAAGTGAGAGACAAGCCAGGGAAGAGGAGAGGAATGCTCACAAAAAGAAGAAAAAGAGAAAAAAGCTTTCTTCTAACCTTTTATCTGATGAATATGGCTTTTCAGAGACAGACAGTTGCATACAGCTGGAGTCACTCAGAAAGATACAAAAAAAGTGTAACAAAATGTTCCACAACAAAATGAAATGCAAAGCGCTTCACTCGGTGACAGCAGCTCCGGAAGATGTTCCCCCTAGTGATGATTCACCACTCCAGGGGACCCTCCAGAGGGCAGGTGAGCAGGAGGGGTATCGGAGCCGAGGCTACTGACTTTGATAGGCCTAGGTTTCTGGCAGGTGAGGCTGGTTGCCACAGTTCCTCTTTCAGTGATGTGTGCTAAGGTTTCTAAAAAGTTTCAAAACATGTAAACGTGGTGCAAAAAAATAGGTGTGACTGCTCCACAGAACCTTCAATTGTCGCTTTAGCAAGAAACACTAAGCAGCTACCATTAAAAAGTTGCTCAGATAGCAAAGGCCCTTTCCTGTGCATTGACAGAAACGGTCCTTCTTGTTAATAACTTGCATGCTAACATCTCAGAATGTTTTAAAGGGGCAAAATACATGCCTGAGTTCTGATGCTCAARGTAATATGCTGAAAGTATTAGCAGATGACAACGTAATATGTGGCACTTGTGGGTGGGAAGCAGCATAGTCTGAAATGTGTGAGTTTTTATATATGCGATCATCTGATCTCCATACAGGATCACTGTGTTTCTGGATGTTGTCCCTCACAGTCCTGTCTCAATTTACTACACTTCAATTCAGTGGCAGCTACTTGCCTTTTAATTATTTTTATATTTCTTCTTTTGCTTTCCTTGCTCCTGACATACTCTTTTGAAATAACTTTTACATCTAATTATCTACAGGAGATGAGAGGAAGTTAATACTGAGAAGAGAGGTGGATGCTGATGTCAGAGGATGCCCTCTTTTTCCACTTGAAATAATTCAGACCAACCCCTGCTCAGATACTTTCTGTGGAGCTGAACCTGGAAGAGGATGCTGAGCAGCTACTGTGTAATAGCTCTTAAGCTTACTCACAGAAGTGGGAGAAAGTAAGTCCTTTAGTCGTTAAAAGTTATGTGAAATACTGGATTTTTTGTGTGTAGGTAATTCCTTCTGTATGGAGGAGTAGAATAATCTGACTGGAGTAGTGAGCCAAAATATGAGAATTTTTATCTGGCTACTGGACAACAAAGGACCAAAATGTTTCCCAGGGACAGACAAACTTTTGTGGACCAGTTGCTAAGAATTCAAAAAGTAACAGTTTGATATCTTGGAGTTGTACCCAGATTAAATCTAGGGTGCAATGTAAACATAAAAGTTACACTTTTTGGTAGTACYGAGTCATTGGAAAAAAAAAAACATAGAGCAAGCATACCAAGTGCCTCCTCAAGCAGATGGTTAAAATAGTGGGACTGTAAGATGTGGGGGACATTTATACTCATTGGGGAGAAATGATTTTCCAAATATGAAAAAAAAATCTTCTTTAAATCCCATATTGGAAATATGTTTATTTTCTGATTGCAATTCTAGAAATATTTCAAAAAAAATGCTGGTCTTTGGGAGGGTTGATTTCACTAAACATGTGCTGGATTAGTTGGATAGAGAAAAGGGAATGCTTGTCAGCACATTCRCAGCTCACCCATATGTACGGACTGAAGGTTTGTAGGGTTTCAAAAATGTGCCCCTTTGAAGGCACATGCAGTGAGACAGCTATTTAGTATGAGTTACCCAACAAATAACTTTCTGAGGAAATGACAAATGTAGTTAAATTTCTGCTGCATGGAAGTAAAAATGTGAAAATGCAGTCTAGGAGCTTGAGTTATATCCATATTTATTCGGCTGGCTATATTTAGAGGAGAGTGACAATTGCTTTTGGACAAAGTCCCTTAGGAAAATACAGACTGACCAGTTCTAAGTTGAATACACTGATTATTTCAGCTTTCATTTTAGTATGCTTTATTTATTACATGTCAATATACTAAATTAATGTGATGATATTGCCTTCATTATACAGTATCCTACCCATGTTTGTAACTTCTGCTCTAATAAATAGTAATAAAGAAGTTTGTAATTGTTCATGGTAGATTGGTTTTCCCCTAGTGTGCTCGATATTGGTGATTCCTAGAGGCTTCTGTGTCAGGCTTTTTCTGTCCTCTCTGTTCACATGTCCAGATGTTGAGTGCCTTTTCAGGATCATGAATGACATGTGGTTGCTACTTAGACAAAGTACTGTTAATCTATTCCTTTTATCTAAAAAAAATCTTATTTTCTTGGCAAAATATTTTCTGAGTATTTTGGAGAACATCTATGGCCGTCCTTAGTCTGCTTTTTAGTATTTTATACTGCTGTAATAGAGATCAACTACTATATTTGTTGACTGTGTAAAATGTTTCAGTTGCACTGATATGACATACCAAGGGTGTTGTTTTTTTCTCTATGCAATATTTACAGATTAAAAAAAAAAAAGACAAAACTTTTCCTTCTAATCTYTAGACAGTTCTCTGTGCAGAAATACGCAATTCCCACGACACCATGTTTCACTTGCAGGTGAGAATTTTTTCTTTTAATCTAGGAACAGGAACTGAAAATTTCAGTGTAAGTTTCCTTTTTTTTTTTTTAAACTCACAATATTCAGTAACAAATAAATACACTAATTCTGTAATTGCTACTTGCATTCACCTATCATGATGCTAATTAATAAAGTAAATCCTCTATCTGCAAGTTCTCATCCATTGTAAAACCTCGTATTAGTAAATAAAATACGCACACTTTAAAACGGGAGATACCAGGATAGTCTTCATACTGAAATACAACTTTTGTGTTTCCTTTCTGTTTATAGGTGGCATTTAGAACTTGGTTTTGAGTATTTTAATACTATTTTCTCACTTTCTTCCCTGTACTCCTAACTTCAGCTCCACCCTTCCATTAGCTGAACTGTTTGGTGTAATTTTATTATACTGAAGGTCTGTCTTTAAAGATGCACCTAGCAGACTGCGGCAAAACTCCTTAAATATATTGCTTTTCAGATTAAGCTTCTTTAATGTTCAGGAATAAACATCACTTATCAACTAAGAAATGTAAAGAATGAAGTCATATGTAATTTAWACATTTAATATGTAAAAAGATGCATTACAGCCAGCAAATAGCTTAGTAGCAGAAATGTATAATATTCTTTACGTATTTTCCCATCTTTCCTTATTTTCACTGTGCCTGTGGTGGTGTACTCGGGTCATGTTCCAAGAGTTTGCTCTTTTGCTGTGTACAGAACTAATGCAAATGCTTAACAGAGCTAGTGGGAACTTAAGTCCCCTCAGGAGAGTTGCCTGGACTAAGCTGTGGGTTTTTTTTNTTTTGTTTTTTTAAGCCAAAATACCAAAATGCCAAAGTCAAAATCCTCAGTTAAAATCCCCAAAGTTGTTTGTCAAGCAGAAATGCACTATTATTATTATTGGTCTGGCTGCTTGAAATACAAGAATACGGCAATTATGACATAAACCTCTTCCTTCTTAATCTAGTGATTCCAGGCAATGCATAGAAATGCCTCACCTTTAGTAAAACCCCTTACTAACTCTTATTGTAATCTTTTATTACTGAACTATTTTTTACATTTACAGCAGATACAAGATCTTGTAAAAATGAGCAACAGGTAGTGTCCACATTAAGGACTTTCCTGAGCCTTACAAAGCAGTTCACAATAAGCCACAACTGTTTGGAATTGAGATTGTTTTCTTTGGTGCCAGCGCTCCTCGAGGGTGCCTACACAACATGCCCCGTCACTGGTGTTTGCACTTCAGCTGTGGGCGGCTGCTKAGAGACTCCACCCTGTTCTCATCAAGTTCTACATGGTTAATGTGCAATCTGCTCAACTACCTGGCATGGCTCTTTGGCTCCCTGTCTTTGCAAGTGATGGCTGTTAAAGAAAGAGATCACGTTGTATGGGCAAAGAGCAAAAACAAACCTAGGAGAGGTCTGTTTTCTCCAACACTTAGGGAAAAAAGCATGCCTGCCACATCATGAAATGGGTCACACCTTCCCTTTAGCAGTAAATTTCATTTACTCACAAAAGTAGTGGTCTTACACGAAGCATAATACTTTTCCCCAGGAGGAATACATGCTTAACGTTAAGCTTTGTCTTGTGTTACTTTACAGGTTTTTTTTTCTTCTGGGTAATCTACCACTTAGCTTGTTTTAGGCATAGTGATGGGTAGCAGTCTTCTTTCGGTTAATACATRAAACAGTGTTCGGTTCCTCAGGCTGTTATGGACAAATTTAAGAGTCGAATTGTTGAGTCCACTGAAGGGTAGAGAACAGCCTAGTCTCATTCCTCTACCTCCCCGCCTTCCAAAGCTCTGGGCTTTGCTCTGTAGACTTAACAATTACTTATGCCTAACTCTGTCCTTGCCACAGGAAATATATTTTGTAGAAACTGAGCAAGGTTTTTATTTAGTGTTCAGTTTAAAGGTAGGGTACTACAGAACCACCTTTGTGTTATGCAAAGCATAGAKTGAGTTCAAGCTGAGTACCTGCAAGTTGGACAATTTGGAAAAAAGAATGAACTCTGGAAATAAGTAATAACAAACACCATAAGTATGCAAGACTAATTTTATTTCTGTTTTAAACAAATAAAAGCACATTTCTGATTTGAGGTAAAACCATTAGAAGTAGTTTGCAAAGAGTATAAACGTGTCTAAAAATAAAATAGCAACACATAGGCTGTGAGTAGTTTAACATTTGTCTCTAGACCTTCATTAGGTAGCTCATACAGTAACACTTTATGCAAACTCTGTGGCCCAAGAAACTACACTCTTGATTTGAAGGCCCCGTGTGACCAGAAGACAAAATGCCATGAAAAGTGTTAGGACTGAGGAAAACTCCTCACTTCTCACCACAGATGGTCTCAGGCACTTTAACATACGGCGTTAACTTGTTCGTGGGAGCTGCTGTTACGGAATGCAGTCTACTTTTGAACAATTTTGCCTAGTTCACACATTCTTCCCCACTTAGGACTTAGTTCASCATTTCAGTTCTGTTGCCAAACTGAAATGACTCAGCAGAAGAGCTGATTGAAAGAAACCAGATAAGGGGAACTATGGTAAACAGGTGCCACAATTAATCACCTGGACAAGAAACACTTATGAGAAATCAGCAAATCTTTAGTTCTCGCCTTAGAATTTTGCTTAAGTTTTGCATATTTTGAATGGTGAAGAACCTTTGCATTTTTCCTTGGTCAAAACCATCTACCCCTTTAGTATCTGGATTGGTTACATAATCAGAATATTTCAGAATATTTCAGAATATTTAAGGTTGGAAGGGACCTCTACAGATCATCTAGTCCAACCTTCCTGCTCAAGCAGGCACACCTAGAGCATGTGGCACAGGGTGGCATCCAGGCGGGTTTTGAAGACCTCCAGAGTAGGAGACTCCACAACCTCCCTGGGCAGCCTGTTCCACTGCTCTGTCACCCTAACAGTAAAGAAGTTGCTCCTCACCTGGAGACGGAACTTCTTATGCTTCAGTTTGTGGCCATTACCCCTCGTCCTATCGCTGGCCACCAGTGAGAACAGCCTGTCCCCTTCCTCCCTGCATTCTCCCTTCCTGAACTTATACATATTAATCATATCCCCTCTGAGCCGTCTCTTCTCCAGAGAAAAMAGGCCCAGCTCACTCAGCCTCTCTTCATACGAGAGATGTTCCATTCCCTTAATCATCCTGGTTGCCCTTCTCTGGACCCTCTCCAGAAGCTCCACGTCCTTCCTATACTGGGGTGCCCAGAACTGAACACAGTACTCCAGGTGCGAATCAGAACAAACCTAGTTATTAAGTATGGATATGAGCCGAGAGAGCAAGTAAGAAGTAATTCAAAGATCAGCCCTTCCAGCTCTAACGTTGCTGCTTGTGCATGGGATTTTGCTGTTTCTTTTTAATAGCAATATTCCAAAATAACAAAAGGCTTGACTCAGAAATGGCTTATGCCATGTCACTTCATTTTGTACACGTTACATTGATCATAAACATTATTTTGCTAGTGAAAGCTGTATGTATGAGAGCACTTGTTMATCATGCCATACCAGCAAGTCTTTTCATAGAACATACGCTAGACCTAAGAATCAGTAGCAAATGATTTTCACTGTTTAATTTCATTTTGTTCAAATTCACAAAGAGTTTTCCTAAGAGTAAACGTGAATGTAAAGTCATCCTGCTGAGTCACATTTCACATGTCCCTTTTCTGGGGGGATGCCCAGTTAAGTTACACTCAATGTCTAAACCTTTGTAACACTTTAGATGTGCTTTAAAAGTAAGCAAAGAATGTTAATTCAGCTGCATGACTGAATACATCAAGTATTCAACAGTCATTACTAATTCTGTAAGTCTCCAAGTGATTTAAGCTCTCAAAAATTACTAACTTTTTAAAAAGCAGTTAGTGTTTCATCTGTAAGCCTCTTTTTAACTCCTTAAAAAGTCAAATTATCTAACATTATACTGAATTATACTGCACCATAAGTGAGCATGATGCCTCATGGACAAAAAAAAATAGAGTTCATTTTCTAAGGAAATTAGACTTAGAACYCAATGCCCAGATCCTGTGAAAGCTAATACTAAATCAAATTTAGTGAGATTTGGATTACATATGTGAAGTTGCTCTTGTGCTTGTGGCTGCAGTGCTAGGTTGCTAATGAAAAACTTTGGATTTCAACCTACCTGCACTAAATAGTGGCAAAAGGAAAACAGTGATAGTCCTTTAATGCAAAAATTGCAGTTTACTTTTGCACAAACAATTTTTGTGCATACTTCAGATTATACAGGGTTAAAGGAAGACAGACATTTCATCTTGACCAGTTTATGACTGAATTTGAAAGGGAAACCTTTGAAAATAAATGCAATTATTGGACCTGGACCTTTTGTACTCATTCTTGCAGTTAGAACTTGTAAAATAGAAGTGGAATGTTAAAAATGATCCTTTAAGATACAAAAGTGGATTGTTCCTCACTACATTCTCTACTCTTTCTTTCCATCTTSAGTATTTTTTTCTTCTTCATCAGAGTATACAGTAGGTTCCTCACCCTCCTTCAGCAGTTTACCAACATGGTGATACTTAACTGAAAATTGAAAAAAAGAGAATCCCAAGTCATTATTCTTCTGTGAACATGTTACCTGTTGTACCTGTTCCACATCTATTTCCTGGATTAACAAAATGCTTGCACTGTAATAACACACCTCTGAGCTTCTTGCAAATGGGAGAAAAGGAGAATAAACAAGTAAACTATTACTATTAATGTTGTAACGGGTATAAAAACATGCAAAGTGAACGCAATATAATTCTCAGTTTATTGCCTAAGTTGGAAGATGAATGAATGTAAAGACACATCTAAAATGACTGACTCATCCATCTAAAGAAACAAAATAATGGATTTCAATTAAATGGAATGATCCATTTTCCAATCCAATTTCATAATGGATTTCTCTTGTCAATACCAAGGCTAGTCTTTTGAATACATCATTTTTAGAATACTTACGTTGTATTACACATTCCCCCATATGCAATTGTGCCTCCATTCACACAGTACTTTCAAGGGTTTATATTTTTCACAATGTATGTTGTAAACATCCAGTGAGAAATAATAAAAAAAAATCTGTTCCCTCACAGATAAAGATGGAGCTGGTATCCGATTATGCAACTGTGCAATTAGTCAACTAAGCCTTCTGCCTTATTTTATACATCTCTTTTTGAATATGTAAAAAAAGTCAAGCTTATGTACACATAAGAACTGAGGGCTGTGCTAAGGTGCTCGTCTGTCAACTTCAGCAAAATAAAAACATGTGTCTGTCTACAGGGATTTCCTAACAGCACTGTTACTATATTTAGGAAGAATTTAAAGCAACTAATTGTCCAATTTGCTATAAACACAGTTAAGTGGAGTGCGTTCACAGTTGTGCAAAGACTGACCCCTGCAAAGGCAGAGCTGAACACTCGTGTAGGCTGGACACTTGGTAGCACAGTTTTGGTCTCCGGCACATACTTGTTAGCAACATAAAACAAACGTTTAATGTGGCATGATTAACAGCCTTGTGCAAGGCAGGAGGAGAGCCAAGATAGCAAGTGCACGCCGGGTCAGGATGGAGGACTCTAATGCCATTATGTGGAGGAAGGCACCATTCCAACCACTGATCCTCAATCTTTAATAGGGGACATTAGATTTACAAAACAGTCCCAGATTCCCACTACACGAAGCTATTTTGATATTGTTGATATTTCAACAAGATGAATAACTGATATTTTTACTTTCTATTTACTTTCTATTTCATCTGAGTAGAAATAAGCCCTTCGATTGATTTAGGCCTCCAATGGCCTGTAAGGCCACATGAGATATGCAGGAGTAACTTCCACAGAACTGTGGTTTAAAATACCTCTTTTTTGAGTAAAAAAAAAAAAAAAAAAAAATCACAAAATATGTTTATATACATACATGTTGAAACCCCACAAAACAGCTGGAATTGCCTCTTTTTTTAGGCTTTTAATGCTAAGCATAGAAAAACAAGGTGACTATGAACTCAATCAAAATAAAAGTTTCCAGACTGGGGACAGTGTCTTGCTTCTCTTATTACACACATAACTTACTACTTAATTATAAATAGGATTAAATYGCTTACAAGTGAATTGTGATTCCCAGTCCCTCAGGGTCTCTTGCTGCGTAGCATTRAGATCGGAGAGGTCATCGTAGTCATCCCTCAGAGCCTCCTTATCCAGGCAGAAAGTGGCAAGGCCTCGGGATGCATCTCTTCCAGCAAAAATCCCATACGGGCCCTCTTTAAAATAAAAACAGAGGCATCATTATTACAGAAGCCACAGCTATGTATCATCTTGCAGGATGACAGTCCCCAAAACAGATGTCATGTTCCTATCCTGACCGGAGTGTCAAGAAATGTCTCAAACTTCCAAAGTGCTTTTAGTGTTCTTTTTTTCTACTTGGTAATAAAAAAAGAAAAGCAGAGGAAGAGGGCAAGAAATAACATCATAGAAAGAGATACTGAGTGTGCTGGAACAAAAGGACAAGGAACCACACAACGATGTGTAGAACACAAAGACAAGCTAAGGGTAACTATACAGATCCACAACCACATCTGCAGGAAAGAGAATGGAAGAATTTGTAAATCAGGTGATATGGAAGCTGTCTGAGAGTTGCTCCTGACTTATAAGCAGCATTTAAAGCATAACTTGGTGTTGAAACCGTGGAAGAGATGAAGAGCCAACAAGGAATCGGCAGCTACTGAGACTTTGAAAATGCAAGATGAACTCGGATGACCAATTCATAATAGTTCAAAGATAACTTATCAARGCAGACTCTTGCTAAACTTCATTAATCAGTAACTTGCTTGCATGACAAGCTGAAAATGGAGACATCATATGTTGCAAGCGGACATTAAAAGTTCCTCTGGAAGGATCTGTCAAGAGGACGGCACCTTSCACGCTTCCCAACCTAAGCTGTTTCACAAAGCAGGAAGATCTTAAGGAAGATCAATCTTCGTCAAGAAGGAGCACAACCAGGCAAACCCATGACAACCCATTCTGCATTGATCTAGTTAGATACAACATGCAGCTTTTTAATGTTGTCAAGGAAGGTAACATCTGAAAGCATGTTGTTTAAAAAAAATCAAGGGGATTTTCAGGTGCCAGGGATGCAAAACCAGGCTCCTAGCTCAGCTGTGCGAATCACCGTGCCCACGGCAGCGCCCGCAGCCGTGATGCAGCAACTCTCCCTCTCCCTCTGGAGCCAAGGCAGCGGTCTCGTGCTCCCCAACACGCTGTGCCACGTTCCCCATGCCCAGCAGAGTGTTCCCCATGCCACATTCCCCATGCCCAGCAGCTCCATGGCCACCCCACTGCTCCGACTGCCGCTTAGGGAACCTCGTGAAGCTCCAGCAGTGCCGCAAGCTCCATGAGGCTCTCGTGAGCACCACAGCGGCTGACGCAGCCCACGACACCGTCTGCGAGCGCGTGGGCCTGGGCGAACGCCAACGYTATGGACCGTGCAGCGGGAAGGGAGCCCGAGCCCCGGCACGTGTCGCTCCCGGCCTCGCACGGGGCACGAAGCGCCCGACCCGCGGCCACATGGTCACAACGCACAGCAGCATCACGCAGCACTATATATACTAACACGCAATAGCATATAGCACTATACACGGAAACATATGTGGGAGGCTCCCCCGCGCCCAGCCAGCCCGGGGCGGCTGCCGAGGCGCCCCCGCCGCCGCYCTCACCGGGCCCGTAGAACTTCCGGGCGCGGGTGACGTCGAAGACCTTGCCGTTAACGGCCATGAGGATGCGCGGCTCGCGCACGCCGTCGTAGGGCCGCAGCTGCGCCAGCGTGAAGTCGCGGCGCCGCATCTTGGGCGGCGGCGGCGGCTCCGCATCGCCCGCGGGCGCCGCGGGCCGCTCGCCGCGCACGATCTGGTAGAGCAGGAAGAGGCAGAGCCCCAGCAGGCTCAGGTTGAGCGGCGAGCCCACGATCTCCAGCAGCAGCCCGCCGCCGCCGCCCTCCGCCGTGGCCACCTCCTCGCCGGCCGCCGCCGCCTCCTCGTGGGCCATGGGCTCGGCTGCGCTGCGCTGCGGAGCGGAGCGAAGCAGCGGGCTCTGCGGAGCAGCGGCGGCCGCGGGGCGGAGCGGAGCGGGCCGGCAGCTCCGCCCGCCCGCGCCCTCAGCGCCGCCGCGGCTGCGCGCTGCTCCCGCGCGCTCGCTGGGGGGCGGCGCCGCTGTGAGGAGCGGAGCGCCGTGAGGCGAGCAGGGCGCCCGCGGTTCTCCCGCCGCGAGAGAGCCCGCGCAGCCGCCGGGAGCCGCGCGTTACTTTATGGCTCGTGCAGAGGCAACGAGCACAGCGTGCGGGACCGGGCCTCGTCCCCCAGGCCTCGTCCCGACTTTATTCTTCCCTTTCCAATAGCACGCGCAGCCCCAGGAGCCTCCTGCCCGTTCTCTCGCCTCCATCCCTTCTGTCCCTCGCTCTCGCCCGCGGCCGAGCCCCAGGGGCCGCCYGGGAGCGCGGGTGCCTGCCATGAGGTAACGGCCGCCCTTGCCCTGGGCCCTTCCTCGGTACCGGCTTCGTCCCCCAGCCTCTAGCGTTATCAGAACCAGGGGCTGGCCAAACATATATTTGTATATGAAAAGTATGTATATTATTCAGATAGCACCTAATTCTGGTCAGTACTTGCCACTGTTGTGCTTCATCGTGTCATTATGTTGGAGTAGGGATGGATACAGTACAAACAAATGCAGCAAGAGTTTTTTTTCCTCTCCTTCTGTACAATACATGCTGTTCCAGAGTGAGGAAGAAGCCCAAATCCAAAACAACTAACCCCAACCCTGAATTTCACCATGAACCAGGGTTCACAGCCTCACAGAAGGCAGGGAAAGGAAGCTCTGTTTATGCCTAGTATCCTGGAGAAGCTATGCAAGAACAGCTCATTCTTAGATAAAGAAGGGCCAGGAAATATTGCCAAGACTGATGGTATTTTATCTGCTACACAAGCAGCAGTGCTACAACCTATGGTTGCTCAACTTCAAACTTTTTTTCTCTTAAACTTACAGCATATCCAGAAATATGGATATGCCTCAACTGCTTTCTATCTAAGAAAAAAAAAAAGCATAAAGAAAATTATGATACCTCAGTCATATTTTTTTTTATATTCATGGATCTCTTGTTAGACATTTATTGTTAGCGGGCGTATTTGGAAATGCCTTAAGCTGGAACAGAGGTTCTAGCCAGTATGCAGTTGACCCCGTCTCCAGTTAAACACCACAGACATTAATTTTGCTCTCATGAGTTTTTCTCAACGTCTTACACACAATAATAGTTTCTTCCATGGATTCATTCTGTTAACAACATCTATGAGATGATCATAGATGTGATCAAGCAGAACTAATATAGAGTCTTCTTCATACTGACTGAAGAAAATAGCAGTGGAACTTAAATATCTTTGTATTATTCAGAAGTTCTCCCCATCCAAACTTGAGAAACTTCAGTAAAATGGCACAGAAGGGCATTACCCACAGCTTGTAGCACCACATAGCAGCCATATAGAGGGGTTATTGCACTGTAGTCTAGTGGCCTCTTGGAGTCTGTAGATTCCTCTGGAGACTGAGGAAAGACACTAAGAAAAGCAAGACTGAATATGCCTTACAAGGAYATAAGGAGTTGAAGCCTTCCAAGGAGAGATGGCACGTTTCATTAGACCATCTATATAGATGGTCTTGCCTTGTAGGCAAGCCTCATCGTATCCACCTTTTTCTCATATAAAATATGGTCTGGTCTAATATACCCCTACAAGTTTTGCAGCTCTCATTAAGAGCTTAATCTCTTCTGCATTGGAGAGGTGTGGAAGAATCCTCTTCCTTTGCCTGGTAATAACTTACTAACAAGGAAAAGAATGGAATGATGCGGAGCTGTAATCTCGTCTCTCTTTAGGCACYAGTGCCTGCCTCCACCAGGGAAACAGGCCCGTCCCTAATCTGCAGAGGTCCAGCAGGTCAAATGCACTCCTGAAGTTGGCAGCAGACATCATGTTAAGTTGTTGATRGAGGGGTCTGTTCCAGGCGCAGAGAGCTGGCAGCTGGCCTTGGAATGCTCTGAATTACATCTAGTCCTCACATCAAAAGGAGAGATTGTGTTAGACTTTTATGTTATGCTTGTTAAATTTATTTTTTATTTTATTCCCTCTCCAGGTCATAAAACAATTCCAGATGGAAATTTTTGCCACGTTTTAGAAAACCTCAGGAAGAGGGATGTGAAGGAAGACCCATCAACTGCAGAAGTGCCCTAGAGAATTTCTTGCCTGATCCGAGCTTGCAACTCCAATCTTCCCCTCAACCTCACACCCAATGAGTTTCTTACTGAYTTATCCAGTAGGCTGCCAGGGCCACATCAGTCACACCACAAGGACTGACAGTCTCTGCAGCCAGAAAACTTGCTTGGACACTATGTACACAACCACATGAGGAAGTTTGGGAGACATCTCACCATCTTTTTACTACAGATGGAGGTCCTGATGTGAATTATCATCATGGACCCTTTTATAGAAAGGTGGCWGATATCAGAAACAATCTGAACAAGCTGTAGATATTTCTGGAAGGGTCAGAGAAAAAAAAAGAACAGTCTCGTGTGCTTCTTGCAACGTAATGGTGTCTGTATCCCTAGAAAGCGCACTGACYGACAGTGAAAGAGTCAATTAAATCCCTGCACTTCCTGAAAATAACCTATTGGTTTTGCCTAGAGGTCAAATGAGCCAAGAAGGTTTTATATGTGAGGGAAAAGAAAGGTCAACTGGAAAGAAATGGAGCTCATTCCCAGATCAAGACAGTAGCACAAYTGAGGAGAGCAGCAAATATTAACAGTTCTCCTATAGCAATGAATGGGGAAGCTACATCCAGTATTCGTAAGGGTGCCCTTCACAAGGCCCGATTTTTGCTCGCGCTGGGAATTCTCAGCATTCCTGCGTGCAGGAGCCGTCTGCCCTCACGCCAGGGCTTCCCCGCGGCAGGGCGAGTTACTGCTCGACAGCCACAAGGGGGCGCCGGTTACTCTCCGGAACGGATCGGTCGGCTTCAGCGTGAACCGACCAGCTAGCTTCAGCAYTAGTGGTTTCAAAGCTTGGAAGAAGGGAAGCATCAATCAACTCTGCAGTTTTCTCTGAGTGAACTTGCACCATTTCAGTGCAGACACTCAACGGGACAGGCACGGACTCTCATCTCAGAGTGTTTGTGATGTATTTAGCTGAAAGCTGCTTCTGACCCCCCTCGCTGGTTATGAAGAGTGCTCCGACTGCCCTCCCTGGGTCTGCTTTAGGGGGCCAAGTCCAAAGCRGCACAGACAAGGTAGGGGACTGAGTAAAGAGAAAAAAGCAGCAATGGGAAGGCAGACATGTGGAAGGAATATCCGTTGCCTTTTCTCCTACATCACCTTAGATGTCTAGTTTGATTAGATACACTTCCAGGTGCAAGCCAGATTTCTGTCTCCCCAAAATGATTCTTTTT